GCAGTAACACCAGTCTGTGGTAAATGATTACTGCAGAATACTTGGCAATTGATGTTTAAGTCCTAACTGTGTGCTTCATATCATAACTCCTAGGTTAGTGGAGAGTAGGGAGGCCAATGTAGTGGGGGAAGGTGCTCTAGAAGAGATAAATGGAAGAAATAAAGTTTATTGGGGTAAATAAAGTTTATTGTGCCAGCTGCAGCTAGAGGATGACATACTTTGCTGGGACTTGGAGAAGGAGAATAACATGTTCACAGGATGCTCAGGGGATGACCGAGACTGTTCACAGCTGAAAGAGGAGCCTGATTATCTAACCAAATTTTCGAAAACTAAACAAAAATTTGAACTTGAAGCTATAGTCAAAATGGTTATGGGCAAGGGAGTGGTGTGTTGGAAGTGGAATTTAAGGGCAGGTAATTTCCCAGCTAGGTCCCTGGGTGACACAAATGGTTTGCTCTTGACTTCTAACCTAAAGGTCGACAGTTCGAACCCACCCAGCAGCATCGCAGAAGAAAGGCCTCTGGCAGTCTGTTTCCATAAAGATTACAGCCAAGAAAACCCTATGGAGCAGTTCTACTCTGTAACACATGGAGTCACCATGAGTCAGAATTGACTTGACAGCAACAAGTTTTAGTTTTTGGTTTTAATTTCCCAACTGTGTGTGCAGGTTGGTTGATTGTGGGATGACAGATCGAATATTCTCTAGATTTAAACCTAAAGGAAATTTCTGAGCCTTCTATTTTACCTGTTAACAGCTTGTTTACAGATTCAGGATCTGGTCTTAGGGAAATAACTATTTACAGTGAGTGGGAGGTGAAGCAGATGAGTGGAGTTCCTTGTGCCTGCCTTCCCCAGAAAACTCAATTCTATTTCACCTTAATTCATTTTTCCTTCAACAGTGAGGCCCTTTGTTACTGCTACTATTTGTACTGAGTAAGAAAAAAAAGTCTTGTTCAAGGTCACATTACCTAAAGGCCTCTGGACAGTTAAGAAAGAAAGTAACAGCATAAAACCATAATGGGAAGGAAGTCTTCAGTGCTTCAGAAGCAAGCCAAAAGCTGTCACGCCCATAGAGAGCAGAGGATTCTTCATGTTGACAAATGACATGCAGATTTTATAAAGAAAAAAGATCTATTCTCAATGAAATGGGTCATAGCCAATATCAGGCAGAAATGTTGAGCCTCAAACTAGAATTTCATCCTTTGTTATGCAGGACAAACAGATCTCTAGCTTTCCTTCAGGGCGTGGGCCATGTGAGCTGCAACTGCCCCTCCCCTGAGTAGATACCCAGCATAGAACTAACGCCTATATACCCATCTCAGCTTGTGTTCCATTGCTGTGGCTTTTCCCCATATAGACTAAAGCTATGTGGGTGATAATCGTTAGACAAGGTTCCGGTTTGAGAGAAGCAGATGATTGCAAGTTACTAAGTGAAGATGACCTTGTATGTAAATAAACTTCATGGAGTCCCAGAGGCCACCACACCATACATATACACATAGTTGAGCCAGCAGAATCTTTGACAGGCCAGGGACCCTCCTAAAAACTTCACTGTTGCTTAGCCTGTGGGCCTGAACCAGGCCTTGCAGGGGCTTACTGGGTAGTGGTTGTATTGGGGATCTCCTGTGGTTTCTGTCAGCTCTTGTTCCCAGGCATAGAGAATTGCTAACAAAGAAAACAGTATTCCCCCTCATGCCATGCATTGTTTACCTCCAATTTCTTATTTCCAACATCCTTGACTCTTTTGGTTAGATCGTGTGCCCTGAATTTTAGTTAACAGAATAGACTCCATTTTTGCCACAGGAGTTCACAGTGAAGACAGTGAACTAGAATAGACTGGAAAGGATGAGTTCAGGGGTGTCACCAGGGGGCGCAGACCGCACTGGGTGACACTGTCAGAGGGGGTGACACCAAAATGACTATAAATTTTTTGTACAGTGTTTCAGCATAAATTTATTATTTTTTATAAAAATATTCCTATAGTTATAACAACAAAAACATTTTTTGTAAGCTCAGCTTACATGTGTCAGTATACTTACAGGGCTAAAACTCTATGCTGATTTACTTTTTGAACCTTCTAATGTGCTCTGGTGGGAGCTGTCATTATCACCCAATTTCAGTGATGCTTCGAATCCCATAGTTTCATCTGTGCTCGCTATAAGCATGTGCTATTGTTTTTGTTGGTGGTGGTGTTTTTATAGTCGCTGATTTTGTCAAATTTTCTGGTATTTTAGCTACAATATTGTAATTTATATTTGTGAACATGTATCAAATAGCTGTTTTGAGAATGAAGTAATAATTAAATGAATGATATATGGGAATTATAATTTATGAGTAACATCAGTACAAAAAACGTTAGTAAGGATTCTGTATGGTCTGGTACAAGAAGAAGTCCATGGAGGGTGACGCCATCCCTGGTGATACCACTGGATGAGTTATGTGTGGGATAAGACCAGGGCCTCTCATATTTATGCCGTATGGGCCAGAAATCTGATGCAGAGAACCCTGTGACACACATGATTATCACTTTACCTAGTCTTACAAGTGATTCCTGGGCCGTCTGTCTGCAGGGTCAGTTCTGATCTCCTACTGGGCTCTTCTGCCTCTCTGAGGAATGGTGGGCAGCAGTGGGAATGTAGCTGTCAGTGAGGGCCAACAACTGTGTGCCAAAAAAGAAGTCTTGAATGAGCATCTTCAATGATCGTTGACACGTAATTGGGTATTCTGTCCTTTAGTTTAGTCTGCACGTGTGTGTGTGTAGTGCATTAGTTCTCTCATAACATTGAGGCCTGTGAAAAAAATGATTAAAGGTTGCACATCTCTGGAGTCCTCTGTCTCAGGCCCCCATGAGGGACTGTTCTCTGTTTAGTGTCCTGTGGCCTGGAGCTCTTGAGCCTTATCTAAGCTGGCAGGCCATTGGATAAGGTGTGGGAAAGTAATTTTTACCAATGTCGTAGTGACTATTAATGGCTAATGAAGGGGTTCTTTACTGGGCTATTTACACACATACACACACTCCTTTATACACCTATACACCCATTTAGATAACATATCCATATACATTTACTTCTTTACCTTAGGTTGCAATTTTATTAGCACTTTGCTCTATGCTGTCACATAAAATTCCTGGCCATGCAACTCATAGGGGTCACCCAAAGTTTGTAGTATGCTGGCACATGCCATTCTTTACCAGATCTATTTAAAGAAAACACCATGCATTTTGTTTTTCTTGAAGCATATGGATCCTCAACTCCTCTGTTACTCTGATTTGATGAAAGCAGTGGGAGTAGGGGCACAGAAAGGCTTTTTTTTTTTGGTCCATTTGCACTGTTCTCTTAGCATAGAGGGTCTTGACTTTGGCTGAACATTTGAATCATTTAAGGAGCTTTGAAAAACGCAGGTACCCACTCCCTGTCCCCAGAGATTCTAATGGAAGAAGCCTGGGATGAGGCCAGGTAATGTGGTTTTAAAAGTTCACCAGGTGATTCTACTGTGCAGCCAAGGTTGCATCTTGCACCCTGTCTCATCCACCAACATTTTCCCCTTGGTTGAAGCAGAAGCCAAGTCAGGATTCGCCTTTGGATGTAGTCCATCTATGATTCCTAATTTTAGCCCTAGACTTTTAGATTTATAGATGTAGAAGATGAGGCCCAGAAAGGGGATACATTTCTTTCCAGGCTAGTCCCTCCAGGTCAGCCCAAAAGAGAGCACTGACAGATACTGTCTTAGGCATTGGGAACGGTCCTTTTAGACAGATCCTCACCCTCACAACCTCATAACACGGTTTATATTCGTCTCCAAGACAAGAGTCACAACTACATTACTTACTTTAAAACTTACAAAATAAATATTCCAGATGCCAAAATCTTTTATTCTCTCTAGTCCAGATGTGCATATGATACATGTGAGCATACGTGCGGTACGATTTTACGTGTTGAGGTAAAGAAACGCAGGAAGGAGATGAGTACATTTTCATCTTATGGTCACTCAGTATAATTGTCTGTTACTACTAGCTTTGGTCTTGTGGGAAATGGCTAGACAGCAAAACTTAGCAAGAATTTTCAAATTGCCAGTTGTAAGCAATTGCTGAAAAGCATTATTTTTCTTCTAATGGAATTTTCTTTTGGGCAAGGATTTTAATTAAAAAAAAAAAAATAGCGCGACTCTTTCCCCAGAGTAAACGAAATGACTTTTGCAATAAAAAGCCTTAAACTTGGTGCCCAGGCAGAGCAATCCATGCAGAGGGAAGAGAGCCGGGCCCATCCTGCTGAATGTTCCCACGGATGTTGTATGTGCCCTATCGGTGTTGTTGTAGTGGTATCTCATGTCCAGTTTCTGTAGGATTGAATACAGTGTCACATTTAATTGGAACAGGAAGCACACTCCAGTTTGTGTGAGGCAGATAAACTGGAGCTGAAAGGCCAGCACTTGGCAGAGGGCCCTAACCCATTGCCCCAACTGCATGCTGCAACATGAGACTCCAGAAACCTTTGAGTGAGGCTGCGTGCTCCTTGCTGGGCTGGGACATTCTCTTGCTGACACATGGTCTGGCAAAATGACCACCCCTCTTTGTATCTTTTATGTATTCTGAGAGACAGCTGCTCTTCCCATTTTAATTTTCCTTTTTTTGACGTCTTCACCTCCTTCCTTCCTCTCCCCCACCTTGACCATTCCGAACTTTGTGACTTGTCTGCTTACGCAGCAGCGCACTTGAGTTTGCTGCTGCTGCTTCTGCCTTTGGAACTGGGTTTTGTGGAAAACATACTGGAGCCTTCGCTCAGCGTGTCTTGAAGATTTTTCTTTGACCTCACGGGTCATTTGGTGGGTGGCTGGACTTGTGATCATTCTGAATAGTAACTCTGGAATTTTATGAATCAAAAAGACAGAGCTCCCATTACCAATGGAAATGTGAGAGAATGCCTCGTGGGCTCTTGTGAGTCACACAGGAAGGAGGGAGGGTTTTATTGGCACTAATATACACTATGCTTTTTTCCTCCCAGGTCCCCCTCCTGTTTGTTATAGTTCCAGTAGTCCTGTCCAGATTCTAGAAGACCCCAACTACTTTTTCCCAGACTTTCAGCTGTATTCTGGGAGGCATGAAGCATCTGCGTTGACTGCAGAGGCAAACAGTGGCATCAAGGAAAAAGGCAGTAAGTCCTGTTACTGGCTCTTGTGTCAGAAAAGCTAAATGACGTTATGGTTCACATTTTTAGCTCTTTTGCACAATTCAAATTTTTCTTTATTCTCTACCCTTGTTTTAAACATCAGCCTATTGGATTATTTGTTGTTTCTTAATTGGAAGGTACCTTATTTTTAATCATATTGTGCTGTGGGCGTTTAGAGACTATTTTATTATAACATGATTACAACATATGACTCTCTCTATTGATTTTAGGTATGTAGGGACTTTAGAATTGTACCACTTTTACCATTTTCCTTTATTGGATTCCTAAATACTTTTTCCTAGCCTTTCCCAGAATCTTTCTTTTTGACTTCTCTGCTTTCAGGTTTTTCTCTTTTAGCAAAGAATTCAGAAGTTCAGAAGAAATAATTCAAAACTTGAGTGGGGAGGGAACTGCCTCCTTTGTAAAAAAAAAAAAAATTCTATCCTTTTTTGGGGGCTTTTTTTTTTTTTTTTTTTAAATAGGAAATCTTTAAAACCACTTTAGAGAAGGATCTCCTGGCTCTTGCCTAATTTGCTGATAGCTCCGTTCTCAGTGAAAAGGAAATTCAGTAGTTTCTATGCTTGGCTAGACCCCAGTCCCATTATTATTTATCCAAATAAATAATTTTCCTTTAGGAATATCACTTTGTTTTTATTTGAGTTTCTATTCAAAGTTTATTTAAGTTTTAAAATTTTTATTCACATGTACTTGTTCCATTAAGCCTTTCAGATCACTGACCCCAAAGGAAGGACTGTGTCCTCTTTTCTCTTGTATCCCCAGCACAGTCAGGATGCCTGAAATATAATAGGTTCACAGTAAATATTTGTAGAGTGAATGAGTGGACAGTGCAACCCACATTGACCTCTCCAGCTTGGGGTTGCTCATTATTTATTGCAATTATTTGGCAGCTGATCTTGTGTGGACTTTTAATAATCTGTTTTTATGGTTTAAAATTTACTGTTGCACTTTGGGTTACATTCATCTACAATGTACATCCTCTGAAGCCAAAGAGTAAGTTTGAATTTATTCCACATACCATCTTATGACCAAAAAACCAAACCAACCCCATTGCAGTTGAGTTAATTCTGACTCATAGCAACCCTATAGGACAGAGTAGAACTGCTCCATAGGGTTTCCAAGGAGTGGCTGGTGGATTCGAACTGCCGACCTTTTGGTTAGCTGCCGTAGCTCACCGTAACTCTTAACCACTGCACCACGAGGGCTCCCATCCTATGAGGTAGATATTAATTCTCCGCATTTTATAATGACAGAGGTTCAGAGAAGCCAAGTAACTTGCCCAACGTCGCAGAGATGTGGTTTTTTGTTTGGGGAGTGATATGATCACAGTTGAACTTCAGGAACCAGTTTGTAAAATTAATTTGATAATTTAATTTGTCCAGCAGCTATTTCCTGAGTATCCTGTGTGCATCAGGCGGTGTTCTGAGCACTGGGAATACAGCACATGAATTTAACAGACATAGTCTCTGCCCTCTGGAGTTTTAATTCTGCCTCATTTTATGGGGAATGAGTAAAATAACAGAGAGAGTTTAGTACAGTACTTGGCATATCATATGCATGTTAAAATTGTTTTTGTGGTTGTTATTGTCGTTATTCCTAGCAAAGTTGGAGATTGGGCATGGAAATAACAAAGGGTTGGCAGAGATGTTTAGAAGGTTGAATTTACAGGTAGCCACTGAGCACACAGCAACAACAACTGGTTGAATTCCCAGGTTTCTGACTTGACAAAAGGCAAGGAATACAGATTTGGGGGGACAGGCAGTTGGGAGGGGTGAAGAAGACCTGTTGAGTTTGAAGGATTATGGGCCATTGGCTGCTGGTTGTAGATGTGCAAGTTGTGAGTCAGAAGCTGAAGACAAGTTGTTGATGTGGTGACCCAGGGGGATTCTGTTGAGTGAGAGTGGAGGGCACTCAGGACAGAGCTGTAGGAAACACCACAATTTAAGGGGTAGGTTGAGAAAAAGGAGCCAGAGAGGATTGTACAGAGAGGCAGGAGCCAAAACCAGGAGGAAGGTGACCTGGAAGCCAAATTAGGAGAGCATTTCAAGAAAGAGATGATCAGCCATGTCCAGAAAGATTAGCTGTGCGATATGAGAACTGGAAAGTTCTCAGTGGATTTGGTTACTACTCAGAGCAGTAGGGAGGGGAGGGCAACGAATGGAGCATTTTGGAGCTGAAAACAGCAGGCGTGGATTGCTAACTGGGGTCGAAGGGAAGGAGAGAGATACAGGGTGGTAATTTGAAGTATATGGTAGGGCCAAGAACAGGTGGTTTCTTTTTGTTTGATTTTGTTTTTTGCGTATTTTATATACATACATACATATATATACAT